AAATGAACACACCCACAAAATAAGTCACTGAACATACCAAAAGTTAGATAGATGAGAGATTATTTTTGAACTAATAGGTATTGTAAAAGACAGTCATATTAGAAAAAATTCATAACTCTCTGCACAATTTTTCAATAGAGCAGATTAAACAAATAATCATGCTATTAAATAGTGGTTGACTATGTTGCGAAAAATTTGAAAAGTTTTAGGATAGTCAAATTTTCGTAAAGGAAAACCCAGCTAAAGCTCAATGTAAGCTCAACATAACTCAGCTGTATTAAATTACACCTATGAAGAATAATAAATGAATGCTATAACCACGTAACCAATCAACCTGCACCCCTATAATTTTTTTTTACGAGGGTTCGCAAACAGCATAGGTTATTTCAACTCTCGGGATGCAGGTGTTTTTGCAAAAAAGGCAATTTGTAAGCGTGTTGGGTTGGAATGCAGGGCCGCTGGATTCGAACCCGGGACCTTCACTTTACAGTGATGAGCACCGTGTCAACGCCTAAACCATTGCGGCCACAGACGCTCCTATACAGTATTGTAAGCTCAACTCTGTATTTCACGAATAAAATCAGTTATCCTATTAAAAAAAAAATATATTAAGGAAATGTTAATATATGATTTATAGATTCTGCTAATTTCGGTGTGCTTATTTCTGAAAAACGCGTTTTGATTTTTCTTTATCTTCAATGTGTGATATTTTATATATGTTTCAATTTGTGTGATATTTTTATGTGTTAATTAGTATAATCTCATTTATAGTTGTTGAAAGCCAAAACTCACCACTGAAGATGACGAAAAGCAATTAGTATACCGGCCGAACTATAGGTTCAACACCCCGCACACCTCAAGAGACAAGAAGAAATCTTACAATTTAAAACTATGTCGTTGAGTTTATTCTTCCTGTTTGACAAAACGTGGGATGAAGAAAAATCCTGCCATTTTCTGGTCGGCTTAATACAGTCCCTTGTACATACAAAACGATTAACCAATTTATCCGCAAATTCATCTCGTTAAAATACTTTTTTAGAAATTGTATATGATGTACTTTTGAAAATATTTACAATTTGTTACATTAACAATAATTTAGGATTCCCTAAACGACCAAGCACATGGTTATCACCTCATAGACTTCAAGAAGATATAAAAAAATATTAGGATTTTTCTTTGGCAAATTCAGGTTTTAGTTTATGGCCTTACATATCCAACAAATATACCAATATTGAACTTTTCCCCATGATTCTGACAATTTTATTATGCCAATAAACTCCGAAGATTTTTCAGCATCTGGAATGCTTTACATATTTTACTGGCCACAAAGTGTTTTTAATAGTGGCCTAAACAGGTTGGTTTTTCTAATAAACCAACTATTTTATTTAGGAAAACGATTCGAAGGCTTTCTTACTTATTGGAACCAAGCTGGATTTGATTTTGCTGAACGGCAACAAATTCACAATGTGGTGACATGCCCGGTGAATGAAATCACTCAAGATTGGCTCTTTGTACATATATATGTAATTTTAAATTCGAGCTACAGGTCACATCGCAGACTTCAAGAAGCACTCTTATAACGCATAATTTATACAAAGCAGTTTTTTCCAGGTTAATACTCTTTCCATCGAACGCCTAGACATTTACGTCAGTAATATTTTCATACATGGCGAATTTTAACAGGTATTTCCATGTACTTTTCGGTACAAAGGCCGATTCGATGTGGGAGGTGTTTTTCTTAAGGAAACCCCCGGGGTTCCATCTGGGCCAGCCGTGAAAGTCCGGCCTGAACTGTATTGTAATCGCGAGCCAAAAACCGTCATGTTATAATTTAGACCTGTCTTGTCCCAAGGTGACAAGATAGCAAATTGCCTGTAAGGGGATCCCGACAACAAAATAACACTTTCGAATAGCTCGAAAAAAACTATGTGTACCCTCAGATAGGAAATAGTCCTGAGAGAGTGTCTTTTGGAATTAATTTATCTTCAAAGCATGCGTTATTGATCAAATAAAATTAATTGTTTAGCTATGAAATCTCTGTCCTTCTATATTTTAAGTGGTTGGTCTGTTTGTTTCTCCGTGCGTATGTCCGTTTTACAGGTGGAAAAATTAGTGAATCGCCAATACGATTCTGTCGGTTAAGGAGTTCATCGGATGCAATCTTAGGCAATGGGGAAAATAGGGACTAACCTAATCTCCTAGCAGACTTCTTAAATTTGGACGCTTTTATTTAAAATAAGATTTAAAAAATAAAAATAAAACGACTATATCGTTTTGTCCATCAGAGTGTTATCTTACAAGACAAAATATTAAATCATACATTTTGTTGCTAATAGTATTATTTTTACGAGGGTTCGCAATAGCAGAGGTTATATCAACCCTCGGCGTGCCGGTGTTTTTGAGAAAAAAAACCCATTTGTATGTCGGGTTTGCATGCAGGGGCCGCTGGATTCGAACCCTGGACCTTCACCTTACAGTGATGAGCACCATGTCAACGCCTAAACCGTTGCGGCCATCGATGCCCCTGTTAATAGTATTACAATTGATAGTAATCATAGTTTTCAATTTTTTTTTATAACATCTTATTTAATTTTTAAAATTTTTTTAATTTTGCAAGCACAATTTTTTATATAATAAACAGTGCAAATTTTTCTATGTTGTTGGGTTAAAATTGTAGCAAAGAAAGTTAAAAACGCAAGACAAATGGCTTTAGAAGTCTCAAAAGCTTTAGAAAAAGCATGAAAACGATGTTAGACACAGACTGCGAAGAAAGTTCACGGTACTCACAAAAATATGTGCAGTTGTAATGTAATAACGGGTAATTTATTATACGTGTTGTTTGGTTTGAACAATTGAAAAGTACCGATAAATGTTTTTTTAAACTTATAAATGAATAAAAAGATCGGCCACTTTTGGCTTGCTTCTCAGTGGAACAAATTGTAATAATTGACAGCCCAATTCCACCAAGAAATCGACCACAGAGAAAATTTGAAAATGAAACAGAGCATGCTTAAAACTATTTCAACTAAAAACCTTAATTAATTGAAAGATATTAATTCGTCAAGCGGACCACGAAAACTAGTGAATTTATTAAGATAAAATGAAGTATATCTTCACTAAATCTCTCCGTGGCCATTTCATTTGTCGCCGAGAATCAAATAGATTACACGACATTTGAAAAATGGCAAAAAGGAGGGAAAATAGAAAAGGTGGGGTTGAGATGGGAAGTTGGTGTCCGAGTGGATCGAGGTCACGATAGCTCAAGTGGTAGAGCAGCTATGTACCTAGCCGAAGGTCCTGGGTTCGAATCCCGCTCGTGACTTTTTTTCACTGACTTTTTTATCTCAACTAAAAACCTTAATTGATTGAAAGATATTAGTTGGTCAAGCGGACCTGAAAACTAGTTAACTTAAAACCAGCTTTATTTATTTTGTGATGTCCAATACGTTTTTCCGTCCACAAGGTATTTTGACTGAATACGTTCTGCTCATTTTATTTTTTATTTACTACGAATTCTCATTTTTTATCATATCCATTTTTTCCGTAATATTATGGATAGTATGGAGTAATTTCCAAGGCTAAATTGAACAGACCTCAGTTAAACCGTTAAACTTTTTGGATGGACGAAGACGACATTGCTTTTGTAGATTTTTCTTTAAGAAATCTTAGCTTTCATAAAATTGTCCAAATTTAAGAAGGCTGCTAGGTGATAACTTAGATTGTCCCTATTGCCTAGATGTAATAAATTGTACAAACTACGATTTGAAAGATATTAACATATTGGAAAACATGCAATGTATTTCAATAATAATCCTGACAACGTACGTACATTTTTGCGACCTAAAACTGTTTATGTACCAAAAGGTACATTCCTTTCCTTTCCGTCGCGCAGGATTTTTTTTGCTCTCTAATTCCATCATACTCTATTTCTCAGATTGGTCGTCGAATTTTTGTTTGAACTCAATATTTTCAACATGCCATTCTTTGATGCTTTGAGTATTTTATATTTTCTTGTAAGGCGTTTTTGACCAGAACCATATGTTTTACTGCTATACATAGCATAATTGACACGTATATGTTTTCCTCTAAGAAGATCCCGAAGAATCAGTTAAATTATTCAAAAAAGCTAGTTTAAAAATATATTTTTGTTGACGATATTTACGAATAATTTTAAAACAAGAAAATAATTTGTAAACATTATTTAGCAAAAATTGCTAAATTCTAGTTAATCACAAAGTTAAACTTTTAATATTTTTGAAATGAAGTTTCTCTGCTTTGTTCTAAGTTTATCCCTGCCATTACTTCATTTACGACGATACAGCTGGTCGTTCCTGATATCATTGGAATTTTTCCGTTCAATTATAATTAATTGTAATAAAGTTGAAAATGGATGGACGTAATTTTTAATTATACGCAATGTACATTAATGAGCAACTTATTATGTCCATGAGTGATGTGTTACAGTTGAGGTTTTTTGGAACGTTTAGTATTTTGAAGGTTCATTTAAATAAGCGTTTGTTACTTTTAGAAGCAAACAATATTTTCTTTGTATACGGTACGTTCAGAGGCTGACAAAACGAATTAGACAACGTTTTTAACATAATGCCTGTCAATTCCATTCCGACACGGTTTGCTCTAAATACCCCAAGTCAATAATATTAGGACAGCATTGAAAAATGGACCGAGCCTATCCACTATTTCCCATTTTCGAAGGACAAGTGGAGTTTTGGAAACGTCCAGCCTCTTTCGCCAGTTTTCCTTCTCATTACGAGCGGGAGAAAAGGATTGCATAAAAAAAGCGACAGAGACACCGCATCAAAAGTGGTGCGATCCGTATTCTTTTCCAGCAATTGAACGAGGCCGGTCAAAGCGAATTTACCAACCGGAGCTGAATTGTGTAGCATTGTCGGACCCCCGAGTCCTGGAGCTGGAACCCGAGGAACCCCATCGGGCTGGGGGGATTTTCAATTTTCTTGGAGGGGAGCGCCCCTCTACGAAGAGTGTCATCTCCGGAGTTCAGAACTTCTCCGACGCTCCCTTCGAAATGGAGCCCCTGGTGCTTCTTTTGTTGGTGTATACTTCCGCTGCCTCCTCGGATACTTCACATTCAATGGTAATGTACAGTTTTTATATAAAATTTTTACACCAATAAAATTATGCTCACAAGTTCACATGGCCCCTCCAAAAACCACCTAAAAGAGGGTGGTTTAATTGTCAGTACTTTAAAGCTTTTAGACTAAAACCTGGATGATAAAATGATCGAAAATAATATTATTTTTTAACTATCCAATCGTATTATTAAATAAACATCCCTTGGTTCTCAAGACCTCTTAAGGATACCATATTCTGCAAAATTTCTGCAGACATTATTTTAATAGAATGCATTACTCATATTGAGCTGGTTTTATGGCTTTTTAATTTTTAATTGTACTGTACTATTACACTTATAAGTTTCCGTGTTATAACTAGATTTTTCATATTTCAACCTTAGAACTTCCAGTAAAAAAATTTTACTTTAAGACTCCTGATGAAGGGGATATATTCGTACAGTGAAAAAGTTTATTGTTCTGAGTATTTTCTTTCTAATTGGCCTCAACCCTGATCTAGTTTAATGTAAAAGCAAATATTTTATCAAAATCATATTAAATATACATTCTAAGTTTTTCGTGGGTTCACCAATGCCACCCTAAAATTCTTAACAATTGAACAGCTTCAGCTGTTAGTAACCTGACATCATCACCTTCACATTATTAACTTTTGATAAATTTCATCTTAACCCAACAAATTAACGGAAATTACATACTAAATAAACCGACATGGGTCGAAATTGGCACGAATTCAGTCAAAAACGTGTGGAAAAACACGCCTTCAAATAAAAATGCAAATGCCAAATTAATAAAATACACGGCGGGTTTGCTAATAAATGACGAATCCGGGTCGAACAGTGCTCGCATTTGTGGAAACGATTGTTTGAATTTTTTTTCCTAGGCACACGCCTATTACTGCTAATTAAGATGTCAACATCCCAACGAAACCACGGCTGATAGGGGAATTAGCAAAATCCCCTTCCGATATTTATTCAACGCAGATATGAGTAGTTTAATAACTTATTTTTAAATTTCCGTAGCTTGTGGCAATCTCCTTTATTGCCGGCTGGATAACAACCGTGAAGAGAAGCGAGCTTTCATAGCTGTAGCTTCTCTTGAAATTATTTTCGGACCTTAATGTAATTATAGTTATCCTTGCCTCTCTTTGACACACTTTTGTTGATTTTTCTCTCTCTAAAATTCGATCCGTATTGCAAATTTTTGCAATTGATTATTTTATTCTGAGAGATAGAAGGTAAATAGACAATTTTTTTAAAAATATAAAAAACCATTGAGTTGTCTTAACTTTAAAAGACTATTATATTTTTTGACATTAATTGAAACAGTTTTACACCATGTTGGTCTCAGCGCATTAAACAAATGAATGATTTAATGTGTATAAAAAAGGAACTAATTAATAAAGCTTTCGAGCCATAACGATATTTCAACACTTTCTTTTTGCCTAGCCATGTTCTTTGTGCAATTAAGTACCATTAGCTATTACGCATATTTTGAAACACAACTTGAAAAATTAAGAGTTATAAGATTAAAAAAATCAATTTTGTGTAATCAGATATGAAGTAAACGAGCCAGTAAAATATTTGAAATTTTATGAATAATTAGAGGAATACTATGATAGATAATATGAGGAATTAGAGGAATTAGAAATATTTGCTATGCCTCGTTATTTGTCGTTAAATTGAGAAACTGCTTCTCAAACAACATCATCCTAGAAACCCAATCCACAATCCAAAACCATCTATTTGGGTACTCAGCTCGACACTCCACTGTACAACAATGGGTTGAGCTGAAAGTAGCAACACCGGAATATTTTGAGAAATTATGGCACGATAGACGGCTATTTAAATTCCTTAGCAATATTGTCTCATTCAGTTTTGCAAGGATCATGCATTCTCCCCCACCTTCCCAGTAAACGCTGATGTCCCCGAAGGTTGTACCCTAGGTCCTATCTTTTTCTCAATTTACACCCATGATATCTCTACATCGACTGCTACCCTTTTCCCCTCATCCCTGTTCTGTCCACTCCTGCAGAAATTCACATGTCCTTGCTAGAAGATAAAAATAAGCGAGACCTAAATAAATATTTAACTTTTATACTTTGACGAATCACCCGTCTTTCTTTAGGAACTCCTTTCTAACGACGATATTGTACTGACATACGTGGAGCCCTCACTCTAGTCTAGACTAGAAATAAAACGACGATACCTACTACTCGCAATATGCAAAGCTTTACATCTAAGTTAGGGTCGTGGACGAGGGATCAGAACCACTTTATAACATTTCTTCCAACTAAATAAAATTTCAATGGCTATGCGGAGATTGGAACCCAGAACCGATGGTGTGGCAAATTCCACTCGATGGATTTCAATTTTGATACTCATATTCTTTTTCAGAACATTCGGTACTTTTTATATAAGCATCAAAATATAGAATTTGACTGTATTTTATTTTATTACCAATTTTTTAAGGTCATTCAGTTTTTCAAAAAGGGGCCAAAAAATTATCTTAAATCCGTAGCATTTTCTTAAATTCTATTTGGTATATTACAACAAATCTTTTTTTCGTTACTTGTTTTTAGTATAGCTTAGCGAATTTGCAGCTAAAGGGTTTCAAAAATAGTAAATAGTTTTTTTAAGAACAACTTGAAGTTGTGACAAAATTTTGGACGTTTTTTATACAAAAATATTTATTTCCCCGCTCTTAAATGTTTTTGAAAAAATGTTATAGCTACGATTATTTCCTTAATTTTGTCCTATGAAGAATTTCTGAGAAAAACGTGCTTAAAAGAGAAAATATAACTATCAGGAGAAGAGATTTTCTCTAATTTTTCCCGTTGCCAAATTTTCGACATAGAAACTTAAGGTTTGATATACCAGATTAAGTTCTTTTGATTTAAATTTTAGCATTTTTGTTCACTGACATAACTCCTGTCGCCTGTTGCAAGCCCTGTTTTGAGGTGACAGGTGAAAATGTGCATATTGGTTAAATGACTTACTTTTTAGATATTGTTTTCTTATTTAATCCTAAAATTTTTTCTCTGTTTATGTTTTATCTTACTGTATTACCGTACTTTTCGCAAATCAAATTATTATTATTAATTCAATTAATTCATGGCGGTAGTTTATTCTGTGGAAAAAAGTTGTAGTTTAATGTATAAAATATAAATACATATATAAAAAAATTCTTAACTCCCAGGGTCCCAAAACTATTTTGATAGAAACTTTGCTAATTTTGATTTAAACCTTCCTATTTATTTTTCCAATTAATTATGCTTTATATAAGGTTTTTTGTTGAAATGAAAAATAATTAATTGGCATAATTAATACGGTCAATTATGATCATCAATATGGATTAATTTACCTATTTATTTTGACACATTCGGTTTTAAGAGTTGGTCTGGAAGTACAAATATTTTGTGAATAAAATTTGTCTTTACATCGTTGCGATTTTTCAAAATGTTTTGTTATTTAAAAACTTTTTTACTGAAATTTTTTAAACTATATTTATACTTTTAATATGTTCCCTTTTTCCATATGACCCGTCATTTAAGATATTTTTATTAAATAGTAAAATTATTTGTGGAATAATTGAATTTGCACAAAATCTTATTTTCGCACCATAATTTATTTTTAGTGGTACATTTTAATTTTTTTAATTGTTGTTATCGTCAGCATTACTGAATTTTACAACTTTTATAGACATAAATTCAATTACTTATTTTTTTGATATGGTCTGTTTTAACAGATAGCTTTTTTCTATTCTTTCCAATTTTTTCGAATATATTTAAACGTTTTCCAACTTACATTGAACGTTTTCTATTTTAATTTTCAATTTATGTTTAAACCGTTTCCATATGTATTTTATCCGTTTCCAAATTGATTATTTATTTTAGGGTTTTCCTATTTATTTTAAATCTTATGAAAATTGAACAAATTTTAAAATGTTTTTAATAAGTAAAAGCAAAGTAAGAAATGTGAGGAAAAATACAGAATATTACAATATATTACAAAACAGTATAGATACTTAAAATACATAATAATACAATATCTACTTTATTACTTGATCAATTGACCGCTAAAATGTAAATGGATTAATTATTATCATATTATAAACATTATCAAAATAAAAATAAATATTAATTGCTAAATTTAATTTATGTGCTGCAGTTGTTGGTTTGTTATCATTAAAACTTTTCCCCAAGAGTTTTGCCCGTTTCTAAATTTATTTAATTTTTTTCTATCTTAAATACTATTATGTATTTATAGTGATGTTTTAAATTATGTATAAAATTTCGAAATATTATCCTGTGACTAGTTTTGTTTAAGGTTAAATACAGTTTAAATTAATTATTCTTTTTATGCAAGGTCTTGGTCGAGATGAAAAAGTTAGTATCACGAGCGGGATTCGAACCCACGACCCTCATTCGAATCCCGCTCGTGACTCTAACGTTTTCATCTCAAACAAGACTTACAAACAAAGAATAATAATTGCAATAATTAATATGGTCAATTAGACCACTAGACATAAATGGGTTAAATACAGTATTTAATTGTTGAAAAAAACGAAAAATTTATTCTCGGAAGATTTTAATTATTTTTAGAATTATCGTATCTGTACGCACGAAAAAGAAGTAGGTTGAAAACAAACCAGAAACAAACTTATTCAAGAAAATAAAAGCATGTTTTAGGGACAGAGGTTTTGTATTTGCCAATCTAGAGGTTTTGGATTCCGATCTCGGCATATCCTATGGAATTTTAATAAGAATAATACGAAAAAAAGCGTCGGAAAGTGGTTTGATCTCTCATCCGCGACACCCAAGTTGGACGTTTGTTCCTGAATGACAGGAATTACTTCACCTTACTTAGTGACATTTCCTCCTGTTAAGACACTGGGTGAACGAATGTGACAAACGTGCTTTATAACGATCAGGAATGCCTATGACAAATCAATTATCAAAAACTAGGAGGTCTTTTCATAGGCTCTACCATCTTTAAGGGCGGAAAAA